GATTTGTTTAAGACAGTCACAATAAAAAAATCACACGCACACGCACGCACGCACGCACTCACGCACAATTCTTTTCATTTCTTTCGTGTTGGCAATATTATTAAGCTGTCAGTTTGTTAGATCTTGAATTCGGTTTTCATAACTGGTTGTTTTATGGCTTTTCTTTTCTTTTTTGATTCTCTCCTCCTCTTCTTTTCCTTTCCTTTCTTTCTTTCCTATTATTATTATTATTATTATTATTATTGTTATTATTATTATTATCGTTTGTGTTAAGGAAAGGTGGAAACGTTCGCGAAATGCGTTCATTTTCATCGGTTAATTTTTTTTCCTTTTCTTTTCTTCTCTTTTGGGATCTTTTAAATCCACCGAAAAAAAAACGAAAGAATTACGAGGTGGAGGAGGAGGAGGAGGAGGAAGAAGAAGAAAATTGCGGTTAATGGCCACACTCGGAAAAGTTTTTAAGACATTGTAAGATTATCTCCGTCTAAAATTTTTTTTTCCAGCTTTATAGAAAACCTTTCTGCTATTGTTGTTGTTGTTGTTGTTGGTTTTCGACGTCATCGTTGACGTCATCGTCGTCCCGTGAGATTTCATAAATGTTTTGTTAAGCTTAAAACTAATGGATGTCGTCAATCTGAGAAAAAAATAATCGTTGGATATGTCAAAACGTTTTGATATGTGCGTGCGTGCGTGCGTGTGCGCGTATTTTCCGAGCCTTTTTTTTGCAAGTCGTCGTCATTTCGAAACGACTCTCGAAGAGAGAGAGAGAGAGAAGGAAAAAATATATATATAGCTCGAGTTAGATTATTTTCCGGGATCATAAGCATATAAAAAGCAATTTCACAACAAATCGCATCGCACCGAGTCAAATTCCACTTACGACGGGATGCAACGGAAAATCTTTTTTTTTTTTTTTTTTTTTTTTTTGAAATTATAACTTTATTTATAACGACGGAAAAATCAGAGAAAAGGAGGAAAGGAAAGAAGGAAAAAAAACGTTGTCGATGATGATGATGATGATAAACAACAACGACAAAAAAAGGAAAAAAAAGAAGCGGAAAAGCTTCGATGATTGGTTTTGGAAACCTCTTGGGAAACACCAATCAGAAAAAATCACACAGACTTATTTCAAATAAGAATGAGCACGCGAAGTAAACCGAACCGAATATGCCGGGGGGAGAGGGGGAGGTGGAGGTGGAGTGGGTGCGGCAGGAGGAAAAGGGAAGGGAGGGGAGAGAAAGGAGTCGTTTCCAAATGACAAACGGGAAAAATTGCTTTTTTTTTCTTTTTTTCTTTAAAGTGAAATTTTCTCAAACGCGAAAAATAAGAAAAAGTTATTATTATTATCATTATTATTATTATTATTATTATTATAATCTTGAAATCGTTTTTCCAGTAATTAAAAATATTATTATTATCATCATTATCATTATCATCATTTCAAAGGAAAAACAAAAAATATTTTTGTGTTCGTATATAATTAATAGAATGCTGTGTTTTGCTTTTTGTATAACAAACGTTTAATTACTTACGTTTGTGCGTGTGTGCGTGCGTGCGTGTGTTTGTTGTAATTTTTTTTTTTATACGAAACGAGAATCGTTTGTTCGTTCGTTTGTTTGTCTGTTTGTTTTTTTATTTTTAAAATATATAAAAAAAATAAAAATGTAAAAAGGATAAAATTGAAAAAGGAATTTTTTCCTTTTTTTTTTGCTTTCTATCTCGCTCTCACTTTCTCTCTCTCTCTCTCTCTCTCTCTCTCTCTCTCTCTCTCTCTCTCTCTCTCTTTGTTACTTCTTCACTTTGTGTTATACTTAATTTTCTTTCTTTTTATTTTTCATTAACGACACTTAAAAAATTTTTTTTCTCTCTTTCTCTTTTTCTTTGATTTGTTGATTCGTTGATGACGTAAAACCTAATTTCCCCGCTTTGGTCAATTTCATAATCATCATCATCATCATCATTATCATTATTAATGACCTGATACCTGATTAAGTCAAAATAAAATATTTGAGAAATCGGTCATTTGTTGTTGTTGTTGTTGTTGTGCCGAAAATAAAAATTTTAGCCAAAGGGTAAATGAGAGATTTAAGGTGAACCTGTCTCACTTTGTTACTTTTTTAATTCGACATGTATTCGAAGTAAAAATAAAATCGTGGAATTAGACGATGATGATGATGATGATTTTTTAAAAGCGTCTATTGCCACGAAATTTTGAATTTTTTTTCCATTTTTGAGAAATGTTTCGTTTGTAAGAAAATGTGAAATGTGTGAATCGTTGTTAGGTCACTTTTTTTGTCGTGTCATTAACAAAGAGAGAGAGAGAGAGAGAGAGAGAGAGGGAGAATTAAAAAAGGAAGTAAAGTGCAAAAAATTTATTTTGTATTGTGGCGACGACGACGAGG